CACAGCCACCACAAGATGTAAGTTGATAGTTGAATGCGAGCTTCAGAAATTGGTGTCAACTTCATTTCTGCAATTTGCCACCACCAACCTTTAAAGCCTGTGTATGCAGCTTCAGTGAAGTCCCAAGATAAAGAAGAGGCCTTCCATACCTGCTGTGCCCTCCTACAATCAAAAAATATATGAGCAACAGATTCCCTCTCCTCCCCACAGCATCTACATAAAGGATCCACATCAAGTCTTCTTTGCAGCAAATTCTGAGCAACTGGAAGATTGTTTCTGAAGCACTTCCATAGAAAGTGTCTCAGCTTCGGTTTAACTTTCAAAGACCAACATCTCATTCTAGCTTTCTTATCCAAATTCAGATTATAGCTACAGCTAGGGGAATCAAGTTTCAAAACCTTCTGATTAATAGCAACCTCATAAGCAGAAGCCGCAGAAAAAAGACCCTTAGCATCAGGACACCAAACCCATCTGTCTCTCTCCTCAGGATTCAGACACTTCAAGTTCAAAATATCTGTACAAGAGGCAGGGGTAAACAACTGATGCAACAAAGTACTATTCCAAGCTCTACCAGAATCAGACATTAGCTCCCTAACCCAAATCACCTGCAGCTGACCAGTAATTTGCTTAAGACAAGGAATTCCTGTCTTGCTCCCCAACACCCAAGGATCAGAAAAGATTTTAGTGCTAGCCCCATCTTTCACCTGTTTTCTAAACCTGTCTCTATGCATATTCATGACTTTAACCCAAGAGTTCCATAGCCAAGATGCAGAAGCTTTCCCTTTAACATTCAGCACACATTCATTGGGGAAATACTTCTCTTTCAGGATTCTAGTCATTAGAGAGTTAGGCTTAGTTAGCAATCTCCAGATTTGTTTCAGTATGAGAGAGTCATTGACAACCCTAAAGTCTTTGAACCCAAGTCCCCCTGCACATTTAGGAGTAGTAGCCTTTTGCCAAGCAAGCCAGTGCACTCCTTGCTGTTGCTCCTTACCAGATGACCACCAAAAGTTAGCACATAGTTGTGCAATTTCTTTGCACACCCCCATAGGTAAACAAAATCATGACATCACAAATATAGGCAAAGCAGAAATCACAGCCTTCAATAAGACCTCCTTACCAGCAAAAGATAAAAACTTATTTTTCCAGCTTACAATCTTTTTCTTAACCACAGCAGTAACATATTCAAACACTTCTCTCTTACTCTTGCCAATTCCTAAAGGAAGACCAAGGTATGTAGATGACTGACATACCTCAATCCCCTGTAAGCATTGACAAATTTCCTGCTTGAGTCCAACAGAAGCATTTTTACTGAAGAAGACTGAAGATTTGGATAAGTTCACTCTCTGCCCTGTAAATCTCTGGTAAGTGGCTATGATCCTGAGCAGATTCATAGCATTATGAGAGTTAGCTGCACAAAACAGAAGAGTATCATCTGCAAACATGAGATGAGACAGAACAGTCCCACCCCTTGTAAGCTTCAAGCCCTGCAGTTCACCAGTTCTAATAGCATTCCCAATCATTTTGGCAAAGATCTCAGAAACCAGCAAAAATAGATAGGGAGACAAGGGGTCTCCTTGTCTAAGCCCTCTAGAGGGAACAACCAAACCAGTCACCTTGCCATTGATGTTAAAGGAAAAGACAGAGGATGAAATGCAAGCAAAGACCCACCTCACAAACACAGGGCTAAAACCCATCTTCCTCATCAACTTGATCAAACAGTTCCACTCAACACAGTCATAAGCCTTCATCATATCTAGTTTAACAGCCATAAAGCTTTTACTCCCCACCCTGTGTCTATTCAGATAATGAATAACTTCATGAGCAACTACCACATTGTCCAATAGCTGTCTATCAGGTATAAATGCTGATTGAGTTTCATTGATACAGAAATTTAAGCACTCTTTCATTCTAGCAACAATGATCTTAGCAATTATTTTGTAAGAGACTGAGCAAAGGCTGATAGGTCTATACTGATTGACTGATTCTGGATTATCACATTTTGGAATTAAGGTTATAACCGTATGATTCCAGCTTCTAAGCATTCTACCAGTATCAAAGAAATTCAAAATAGCTGCACAGAGATCACCTTTAATAAGGGGCCAAAATGCTGGAAAAATAATGGAGTCATACCATCTTCTCCTGGCGCCTTATTTGGATTCATAGCAAATAAAGCAGACTTGATCTCCTCCTCATCAACAGGTGCTATCAGTCTGGAATTCACCTCCTCAAAAATAACAGGAGATATTAGTTGCAAGATTTCTTCTTCACCTCGAGATCCCTCAGATGTAAAAAGAGATTGGTAGAAATTTATAAAACAAGTCTCAATCTGCTCCTGGCTAACTGCAATTCGGTTCATGTTATCCACCACTCTAGAAATAGCATTCTTTTTCCTCCTTTGCATTGTGATGGCATGGAAGAATTGAGTGTTCTTATCCCCTCCCTTTAGCCATTGGACTCTAGCTTTTTGTCTCCAAAACTCTTCTTCTGATAGGTGTGATTCATCCAGCTGTTTTTTAACTTTTTCCCATTCCTCCCAATTCCTCTGTCCCCCTAGAGCTCTCATTTCCTCCAACTTTAGAGTAAGATCAGCAATTTTCTTCACATTACCAGATTTATCCACCTGGTCAGTGCCATCCTGGTCTTTTTTATCTTCTCTTTTAAGGTATACATCAAAGACCCCTCCACAGATCCACCCCAAACTTTCTCCACCTCCTCTTGGCACCCAGGTTTACCCAGCCACCTTTTGTCAAAGCAAAACCTTTTGAAAAATTGAGTAATGATCAGAAGAACTTTTGAAGTAGGTCTGGACTTTGGCTCTTTGATTATCAGTCATCCATGAGAAGGAACCAAACACCCTGTCAAGCTTTTCTTCTATAAAGTCTTCATCTCTTCTGTTGTTGCACCAGGTAAAGGGATATCCTTCCATGCGTACCTCCAACATTCCCATCCTAGCAATGAAGTTGTTGAAATCCTCATAGCTTCTTTGGGATCTCACTCTTCCACCTCTTTTCTCATCATCTCCACATACTTCATTCCAATCCCCTCCTATGCACCAGGTAGATCCCCATAAGTGTTGACTCCCTTCCAACTCTTGCCACTGCAACTTCCTCTTCTGGTAGTCAGTACTTGCATAGATCAGAATCAACCACTCACTATTAACTGAACCGGACATCTTATATTCCACTTGCAAACAAAAGTTGAGGTTTATAATCTGCATAATCACCACATCTCTACCCCACAGCAATAATAGACCCCCACTCAATCCAACAGGTTCCACAGTAAAATTCCTCTCAGCAAACCCAAGCTTCTTGCACACAGTGTCAGTAAAGAACTTGTTCTTTCTAGTCTCAGATAAAAAAACAATATTCTGTTTAGGCGGTGACAATTCTATAATTTCATGTAAATATTACAATATTTTTAATGTGAACCCCGTGAATATTATGGCATTGGGATAGCTATTCTTGCCATTTCGTTCAAATAAACATCTATACACTATTGTGCAATTTTTTTTTATTAATATTGTGCATATATTAAATTTTTAATAATTTCCTATAAATATAGGGTATTTTTAATGTGTATAGAAAAGTCCTTGTACAATTAGGGTTAAATAGTTTATACTCAAATCGTTTATTTTTACTAATAATAAAATTAATAAAATTTGATGGGCTCATTATCTAATTTATAATTTTAAACATTACAAACGCACATATATAACATATGAAATTTTATTTACATTTATATATATATATTCACGTGATACGTTTAAAATTCTCTAAGTCACCTCTCCACCAGTTTTATTTAAAGACCAACATGAAGGCTCGCGTGATTGTCGGCGCCAAAAATGTCAAATTAAATGATGTTCTACAAATTTTAGTGTTATCATTTATTGACTTTAGTTTTTTATTGCCCCTTTTCTCTTCTAAAAATTCTTGACCAGTACATCTCTCTGCAGTACCTACACATTTTATTTCCTCCATTAATGTGGTTGAATCAGGGGCGGATGCAGACTCGCAAGACTGAAGCGCACACACGTAACATTTACAAAGTGAAAAAAAAAATATTATATTTATTCTATGCATGTTCTTATATATTCTATCACTCATAATTACATAAATTCAAATCTTATTAAATATATCTTTTTTAAATACTAATATTTTTTTTTCTTTTGCATTGGATATTCTTACAACGTCAGCATTCATGGACTTCCTTATAAAGATAAATATTTTTTTAGTTAAAAAATCAATGACAAACACAATTTATTAGCTAATTTTAAACTTATAATTATAATTTTTAGAACACCTTAAATCTAATATGTATAAAAATCAATGTTGGCTTTTGTGAAAAATCGATGTGACTCATTTATATATGTTGCCTACAACATAATACAAATAGAAAATGCAAAGAATTTAAAATTTGAGAAAATCTCTTTGTAATTATTTTACCATATAATTATATATGTACTAATTTTTTAAAAAAATTGCACAGGGGTCCGTGCCCTACAGGCCCCTGCCTACGTCCGCCCTTGGGTTGAATAAATATTTTTGAATTGTGATACTATAAAATCCTCTTATATATGACGCTCCGGTGAGAATGGTCCTTAGTGAAAGAAATAAAAATAAATCGTAACTATGAAATCGGATGATCCAACGAACAAAAAAAAGCCATATTTTTTACACTCATTAAGGGTAATTTGAACATTTTATAAATCATACACATAAGTGGACCCCACCCCACACATATTCTGCCACCAGCTATCACGTCGCTATCTCTCTCACTCTATCTCTCTCCTCTCTATCTCTCCTCTCTCTCTCCTCTCTCTCTCTCTCTCATACGCACACACAAAACGAAACTCACGGCCGGGAAAAAAAACAGAAACTCACGGCCGGAAAAAACAAAATTACCGTCACTGCCGGAGCGACGCACAACCACCACCTGCGATTCCCGCCGCCTCCCACAGACACCAACCATCCGCCGCCACCGTCGAGAACCGCCGACAAATGTTGTCGGCCCCCCAGCGACCAGCCCGCCATAGCAACTGGTTCATACGCCGCCGCCGGAAGCACCACGAAACTGGTCGCCGACATATCATTGCCGCCGGAATCATCACGAAATTGGCCGCCTCCGCAATCGCCGTGTTGGATTTCCGAGTTCCGGCGAACAGCTTGTTTGAAGCTTCTTTCAAGCCGTGGTCATCTTCACCGAGTTCGTGGAGCTCCAAGTCGCAGGGGCTGGGCGATGAAGATGCCGACGAGCGTCGGACAGAAACCTACTATTGCAGTCGGAGATGGTGTAGCCGTGTCGGAATCGGGGTCGGACAGGGCGAAGACGAGCTGTTACACAGTGGTCGACGACGAGACTGACTGAGCCGAGAGCCGCCAGGTAGGCGGCGGCGTGTGGCGGAGATCGGCGGTGATTAGCGTCTGTGACAGATTTTTCTTTTTTCTTTTCATTTTGTGGTTGGGCCAAATTTTGAAAATTAGACATGTGCCAGGGACCAATATGCAATTTTTTAATTTTTAATATATGTGCAATTTAGTATTTGGGGCTAATGTGTAATACAATGAAAATTAAAAAATATGCAATAAGGGTGAGTAAGATGCACAATACAAAATCACATAATTCTATTTTTTTTATTTTATATGTATATTATGTATGTTCAACAAATAAAAATATATAATATTAAATAATTATTAAAATTACTAAATATATTTCTATTGTGTGAGTAATTATACAAATGCAAAATATTGATAAGGATACATATTATTAAAGTTTTCTAAAATTAAAATACACATAAAAAAATTCCCGCTTAATATATTGCACAATAACGTTAGATTAATTGCACATCAGTGTATGTAATAATGCACATTATCATTTTTTTTTACTTTATATATTTTGTCTTTTCAACACAAATAATAAAAAAATATTAAATGAAAATAAGATAAAATCTTAATAACACATTGCACATTATTGATTGACGGGTTGCACTTTTGTGTTATTGAGATTGCACTTTAGCATAACAAATGCACGACGATGTTAATTAGAATAATAATGTAAAATACTAAATACAAAAGTTATAAATAACAAATATACTTTTATTACATTAATTATTTAATAAATGCACAATAATTGTTAATACAAATTATTAAAAAAATTTAAAATCGAAATGCACGTTATTGTTAGGTTTTAATTTGGTTGGGATGAAATTCGGTCCTTACAGACTGCACATAGCGGTCGAAATCGTGCAAATTAATGACTGTCAGGTTACAATTTTGTGTCTGTGAAATTTCACTTTAACGTATATATATACATATATATATATATATATATATATGTATTTAAATTCCAGAAAAAAAATATAATTTTTAAAATATAAATTATATTTTTTTAAACCAGAAAATAATATAAAAATATATAGAAAATATTAAAATACTAAATATACTTTTATACTAATAAATAATAAAATATTTTAATTATTTAAGTTAATTCGATGTAAATATATATCTATTAAAACTAGTTTTCGAATACACATAATTTACCTGGGATCGTATAAAATATTGCCCTCCATAAAACAACACATTGCACTTTATAAAAATTCGTTGCACTTTATAAAACAAAACGTTGCACTGTATAAAACAACAATCTACATTTTGTCACCGCATTCCACAATTAACGTCAAATAGATCCCGCCAAAAAATTCTACACAACGTCAATCTAATTTTAACATCCACACATCGTCTATCCACAAAAAATACGATCATGCTAATGTACCAAAATTACAGTAATACACTTTATATATCATCACGTTGCACTTTATAAAACATCATGTTGCACTTTGTAAAACAACACGATGCACTTTATCACAACTATCGAATCGCACAAATACTGAACATAACCGACCAAACTCAAATTTTTTTTTCAACCAAAAATAATAAATAAAATTATTAACTTATTAATTATAATTTGAATATAAATGACATTATTTCTCCACAATAACGATAAATTCCAAATAAACTAAGATTATCGGTTAAAAAAAATTGTATTTCAGTTCGATTATCCGTTTTACTTTTAAACTCTCGTTATTTCAGTTCAATGTCGACTTTGTTTTTTTAAAATAAACAAAATAATCAAACCGACCGAACTGTATAAAAAATATTAATATTTTTTATTTGTATTTTTTTTATGTATTGTCATTGCACATTAGAGTTACACGAATTGCACATTAATGACTATCGGATTGCACAATATCAACCGAATCATTGCATAATAAGTGTTAGACTAATTGCGTATTAGTGACTTCCGGACTGTACATTAGCGACTAATTGACAGACTTAAAAATTTTTGGTTCAACTATTTATATGTCGATTCGATAATCTATTTTTTTTAATTTTAAAAGTTCAATTATGTGGGTTCAATGTCAACTTTTTTTTTGTTCGTTTGTTTTCGAGAGTTCATTTCAGATAATAATTTTGTTAATTCAATCAGTCGGTCCGAGCGAACCTATCAATTAACGATTGTAATGGTGGGTACATTTTGATAAATTTGTGAACTTTTAAATGTGTAAACGATAACAATTATAACAATTATATAATTACATAATAATATACTAATTTTTTAATATGCATATTCTAATGTAATATTGTGCATTTTACATAATGATATTGAACAAATATTGATCAATCTTACCAATTACATGTGCAACAACATATCAAATTTCAAAAATTGCAAATACATCCCCCAAATTTTTCTAATTTCCAAAATATAACCACAAATCAAATCTAATCTAACAATCTAAAAAGAGATTCACTGCCTCTCTTCAAGGTAGAGCGGCTGCTGCCATCCTCATCTTTCCCGGCCGTCACCCTCGCCGGCGCGGCCTAGAAGCGGCGTCGTTTTTCAGTGTTGCAGGCAGATCTGGTGGAGGCTACAAGCTGCGACGTTGGTAGCGAGGTTGTTGGAAGCGGTAGTGGCGGGGTTGTTAACGGGCAGCCGGCTGGTATGTGACGATGGTGGCGGGCTGTGGCGGATGCCGGGATGATGTCGACGGCGACGTGATCGTCGATACTTGAGGTGGCGGTGCTGTGAAGATCGGGCGGCGGTGCTTTGATGGCCGGCAGCGACGCTATTATGGCCGGTGGCGATGCTTTAATATCCGGCGGCGGCACTGTTATGGCCGGGTGGCGGCGCTGTGAAGGCCGGGCGGCGGGGCTGTTATGGCGTGGCTGTTATGGCGTGGTCGGACATGAGGGGATGGAGTTGCCGGAGATTGATTTCGTTGAAGTCGTGGTCGGAATCTGGACTGGTTGTTGGTGGTGACCGGACTGGCAGGGGCTGTTGCGGCGGCGGTTCGGTGGCGGATGTCGGAGGTTGCCGGCGGCAATTAGGTGTTGGTAAATGTGTGCTGTCTGTGAGATCTGATTTATCTGTGTGTGTAAAAATTGATTTCGTGTGTGTTGTGTGAAGGAGAGAGATGGTGGGACCCACAAGGTAGGAGGTGGATAAGAATTGTGTGAGATGACATAAATGTCCTTATTGGGTGGTAAAATATTAATATTTGACCACAGTATGACCACTTATTTACTAAATTGCCATATGATGTTGACTGCCATATTTAAGATTTGACTCTATCAAAACCATTGATATGTTGGATCCAATGGTCCAAGACCATTCTTATTTCTTTCATTAACTACCATTCTCATATGATCCTATCCCTATATATATATATATATATATATATAGGGAATGGTTCAGATGCGCCCCGTTTTTAAAAGTGAGGACGTGAGACCTGATCTGGTCCGTTCATCACTCATCTAATCTAACGTTCAGAATTAATTTAGTACATTAATCAATATTTCTGATTTCGCGGGCGGTACGTCTTCAGAACTCTCTACTCTAGCTTTCAAGGTATGTTCCATGATCACCATCTCTATGCGCAACCATACCTTATAACCATAAGTGATCTAGGGATTTTATCTTAAGTGCAATTATAAGATAAATGCTTTCTCTTAAGATAAAGAAATGCCTTATTCATAATATAATTCCAATAGACTGTATTTACAAGTAGAATACGTCCAATTAGATTGGAACGCCGGGTACCCTACTCTAACACCTTCGTGGTGTTTTCCAAACGACTCGGGTAAGGAACCGGCGGCTTATAAGGTGTAGCCGACTTGTGTAAGCCCTCACGTGCCTCCGACTTCGACTTTTCTTTCTCGACCCCCTCGTCAACAACGGCTTTACCCTTCGAGACCTCCACCTCCTCAATCGGTTCACCATCCTCCTCGACAAAAGTCTCCTCCACCTCATTCTCCTTAGACATCTCCACACGATTATCAACTTGCCTGCCACTCCTCAACACCGAGATAGCGTTGACGTGCTCGGGTTGGCTCGGGAGCTTGTCTTTCATCTTACTCCTTTGCATCTCTCCTAGTGAAGTCCCGAGTTGCCCCACTTGAGTCTCGAGGCATTTGAGGGAAGCTTGGATTGAAGGTACGCCCTTGACCGCATCATGGAGAGTGGACACGGTCGATGCAAGGCTTTGAAGGTACTTCTCCATATTGTCGATGCGAACTTCCGAGGGGTTCACCTTAGTCTCATTTTCGGGCTCCGATTGAGGTGGCATTGGTTGCCTTGGAACAAATCCTCCTCGGGGTTGTTGGAATCCTTGGAATTCGGGCCTCGGTTGGCAGCCTTGAAACTCGGGTCTCGGTTGATATGGTCGGATTTTGAGGAGGTGCGTAGGCTTGAGGTGGTGCATAGGCTTGAGGTGGTGCCGGTTGCGGTGGATAGTTCATTTTCGGGTCCCTCCAAGAGAAGTTAGGGTGACTCCTCCACCCGGCATTGTAGGTGTTCGAATATGGATCATTTTGAGCTCGGGGGGCATACCCTTGCACGGCATTAACATCAAAAGGGACCGTCACAACATTCGGGTCGTAAACTGGCTCCATATAACGTGGACACTCATGGCCTCCATGCCTCGTTTATCCACAACAACCACACACCTCCGCCATAACTACTTGAGTCGACTTAGCAGCACGTAGATGAAGGTGTTTGAGCTCCTCCTCCAATGAGGCTAACTTAGCCAACACGGCATCATTAGTCGACCCGGACGATTGTGTAGCCTCATTCACGGGAGCTCTCTTGCGTACACTTTTCCGTTGGGAGTTCTCACTCAACATTTCATACAACTCATAGATCTCTTCGGCCGTGTGACTCCCGATATCTCCCCCGGCCGCATGGTCCACCATGTATTGGAGGGTTTGATAGAGCCCATCGTAGAAGAATTGGTTGAGCACACCCAAGCAAAAATGATGATGTGGGCATTGGAGTTGATAGCCCTTGAAACGCTCCCATGCTTCATGAA